GACATTAGATGATATACACATTAATAAGAAAGAAAGAACTCAATAAGAAATAAATAAAATTAAATTAGATTACACGCACATGCAGGGCTTTGCAAAAATATTTTTTTAATGTTAAAACAACGATGGAACATAATTGCCTTTATAACACGTCAGAAATAGAACGAAAGTGTAAACTGCACTTTAGAAGGAAGATTGATAGGTAAAAATGGTAATTTTAAAATATTATATACCTGTATGCGTGTCTAACAGATTGCTGTCTATTGTTTCTTGATATCCTAGGGTGTCGTCTAGACTGTCTGGAGCTTGCAAATCTGCAATAAAAATATATTTCTTTTCCCTTTTCTACAAAATATATGTTACGAAACACATATTAGGTATATAGCATAAATTTTAAGACAAACCAAAGCTCTCCTCGGGCATTTGCGATACGTTGCTAAGTGTTTGCAGAAATTCTCTCAGCAAAAGCCTGCAGTAATAAAAAATATAAACATATAAAAAAGTTACGGTAATGTAATATATTACTACACGTACTATAAAAAAAATAATATAGCACAATTCTAAAAGTAAAAATATAAACACACGCACACGCACACGCATACGCATACGCACACGCACGCACACGCACACGCACACGCACGCACACTCACACGCACGCACACGCAAACGCAAACGCACACGCACGCACGCACACGCACACACTGGGAAACTGACGGATTCTGTCGCGATAGAAGTTTCTCGGTTTGAAGGCAATAAAGTCATTAATGAATTTTTGAATGTCGAACATATCTTGGAAGTGTTGTCCAGCCAACGAATGTTACATCGACCTGAACAGGTGGTAATCGAAAGGGGCCAAGTCTGGTGCATGACAACGTTCGGCCACACGTTGCTTGCTCCGACTCAGAGGGCCATTTCAAACTTGAGCTGGGACGTCCTATCTCACGTGGCTTATTCACCAAACTTGGTCCCTTTCGATTACCATCTGTTCACGTCGATGCAACATTCGTCGGCTGGACAATAGTTCCAAGATATGTCTTGACATCCAAATATTCATCAATAACTTCATTGCCTTCAAACGCATACACTTATATCGCGTCGGAATCTACCAGTTTCCCGAAAGTTGGAAGAAAATTATTGCAAATAACGGCAGTTATTTCGATAATTAAATTGTAATTTATATTTTTTTAAAAAAAGCTCAAATATTGCAAAAAAATACTAAAAATTATACATACTCGTAATATATATCTCTATCATAAAATTGTCTTTAAAGTAGATATTAATTACCTTCCTGAGCTCAAAGAGGCTTGTGCTTCCGCAATACGCTTGTCGCGCCGTACATTATGTCGGACGCGTACTCTCTTTACGCTACGTCCCTCCGCTAATCTCCCAATATTTATCTCTTGATCGAGAAGCAATTCGCCTAAATCATCTGTAAAAAGTGAAAAGATTATATTGCAGGAACACTTTTATACAATGTGCAGAACATTTACAAGTTGTTGCGATAGTAAGCAGTACATACGAACAAAATGCCAAATATTAGGATGTATTCCACCAAATCTATGAAAAAGTACGTAATGGAAACTTTCCACGAAGTTGTTTGTCCGTATAGGCGTACCAAAAACGGAAACTTTTTCTTTCAACGGAAGCCAAACACGCCTTAAATAAACAGTAAACTGCAATACAGCAGGATACTCTGTCGATATCAGATCAGCCTCTTCTTGTATTATTCGCAATCCTTCCTCAAATGCATTGACCGGTGCCAATGGCAAGGCCATGGTAAAACCAAGAACCTTTCTAGGGGCTACCATTAGACCCAATGCTTTCCAACGTCTTAATACGGCCTGCATAAAATATAATATTAAATATAATATTAAATCATACTTAAAATAAGCAGATGAGTTATACGTAACAAAAAAAAGATTTATAAAAATTACAAAAATATTCGTTTTTGTCGTTTGCATACGTACCTGATTAAAATGAAACCAACAACCAGTTATACGTGCTTCTGGAAAAGTCTCTCTTGCAACTGTCATTGCCGCACGTTCGTAATCACTCATAACTGACTGCACTCCTTGCAGTGCATCCGGACGCAGTTCCTTTACCCTTCGCCAAATCGCATTATACACATCGACGGTGCGCTTCTGACACAATATAAAAAGGACCGGTATACCCTAGTGGATAAAAGGAAAAAAATACATATAGCATAAAAACGTCTAATCAACATTTATAAGATCAAAAGCTATTAAATTAATCTAACACACATGCACGCACGCACGCGCACGCACACGCACACACACACACATACACACGCCCGCACGCACAACATACCGTGTCCATATATCGAATATGAATGGTATATAATTGCGCGAAGGATGGCACTCTGGGAACGACCTGTTCAAAAGGATAAATTTCTTCAAGTAATGTTTATAAGGATATTAAGGATAGATATTTAGGATTAACTATTATTAATATAAGGATAGGTATATATTTTGAAACTTTTTTGCTCACAATCTTTGTTCTTGTAGCTTTCATTTAAATCTTGAATGTTGCTTACCGAAAATGTACCGTCCATGAATATTTCTGTGGATGTTGCTAGCGCGTTTAATAGGGTATCAGTTGTAAATAGCACTGCTCTATAGCCATTATCCGATAGTACTGTGCCTTTATAAATGTGTTCGGCGGGCTGATAATTCATCAATGCTACTTCAAGACGGACAATAGTCTGTGGTATCTCCGGTCTGTGACGTACTTGTTCTCTGTACAGAAAACTTCTCATAGTACGGTAAGTTA